TTTCTCTCTGCAGCTGAGAAATCCACCGTGCAAAGAAAGCTCCATGTGGCGGGAAAATTCCCATGTGCCAAGGCACTAAAAATCATTGGGTTATGACATGCCCCCTTGCCGATGGCACAGCTGGAATTTTAAACCACATGCGCGTCGTTTGAGTCATTATGAGCTCTCTTGGCTGGTTCATAATTTAAACGGTTAAACACAAATTCAGACAACAAAATAAGTTCGTCCTCTAAGGACCGAATCAGATAATAGCCGGCACTAACACACAGACACATAATTATGTTCATAACAAGAAATTCAACTATCAGGACTTCAGTAGGCGTCATGACAAAGTCACAAGTCAAGTCCTCGCTTCTTTAATGATGTTCTCCGTCTCTCTCTCGGGACTTCCCTCCACCACACACTTTGAGTCCTGGACCTGTAAAAAGAAAATCCTTAAAACGATAAATTAACCTATATTACAATATTTACATGGAACCATGGTCAGCTAGTTTTCCTGCCACTTCCCGCTCTTTCACAGCGCACAATACAGGTGCTCGAGCACGGCTCCGCTTTGGACAGTTCTTCTCTTGCACGCTCGCGGATACAACCGACACGGAAGTTGATGACAAACACTGCGGGGGTTTATCCACGTTCAGCAAGATGAAAATGCTGATGACATCGTCGAGGAATCGTCATCTGGCTTCTCTGAATACTGAAAACCCAGTTCATAGGCCAGTTGCCATTGGCCTGCGTCTCCCAGGATTCGGAGTTGTCGTTTAGTGAGCCCAGAATGGTTTAGGAGGAATCCAAACATGATTCGCTCTTCGGACCTTCTCTGCGGCAACGGTTGATGATCAGATTCGCTATGGCTTGTGCCCTGAGCTTCGATCAGGTATGCAGTAGATCGATGCTCCCAGTCGCTAGGTGTTTTCAACTTCATAAGGATGCACAGTCACGAAAGCTGATGCAAAAGGTTGCTTGCAGGTTGACCAACCATTGGGTTGAGGAAAATCCGGAGGACGACGGTGTTCTTTCTTCCATAGACCTCAACACAGGCGTTTATGCTGTTCAGATTTATTGGAACGGTTCCAGGATTTCGCAGATGGCGGTAAGGCCATGGCCCTCTCTGCTGGGATGATGTTAGTCCCAGTACACACGCTCTGGGGTTCCAAGAGCAGTACGAGATCCCGACTATGGCCAGCAAAAGCTGCTCCGCGCTGGATTTCTCCTTCCGTCCGTCATGCCATGCGTGAGATTCCCGACCGACTTATCCTGCGGCAAGTGCCAGAAGCAGAATGGGCCAATGAACGTTGAATGTCACTGTGCTGATGTCGATGGCATGCCTTCCGCTCCACGAGGCCCGCCGGATCAGGAAACTTGCTTCCTCCAAGTCCAGCAAGTCGGACCCAAATTCCACGACTAGGCGTCCCATCCATACGGCTAGGGTCTCTTCAGGTTTGATCTTTGACTCCTCGTACAGTTCCTGCAACTCAGTTCGAGTACGAGCACAATAGGTGGTAGTACAAGCTGCACTCGGTGGATCAGTTGCCTGGCAGGTCGTTGTCACAGGGCGAACTGCTGCTAGAGCCATTACTGATTCTGGTAGGAGGGGCGGATGCTCTCCTCCGCTCGATGCTCCCTCCCCG